CAGTTCATTCCACTACAACGCCAATGCAGCGTTGACAAAACCCCCCCAAAAGAATCCGGATCATTCCACTACAACGCCCATGCAGTGTTGAGAATTCTCCCCAAGAAAAAAAACACCGGTTCATTCCACTACAACACCTAAGCAGCGTTGACAAACCCCCCCCTCCCACAAGAAACCGGTTCATTCCACTACAACGCCTATGCAGCGTTGAGAAAACGTCGAAGCCGGTCCTTGACTGCGCGCTCAAAGATCAAGCAGCGCACTCGCAGGGGTGCCTCGGCCTCTGCAAGGCCCGGTGTAGTCGTTGGTGCTTTTTCGGATTGTTTTCATCCCAGGCGAAAGACGTGCCTTCGCCTTGACATAGGCAAACCAAAGCTTCACCTGAAAAAAGCGCGCCATGCATTCTAGATGTCGTCCGCTTGATGTGTGTGTGTGTGTGTCACTCTAAGATGGTGTGCACCCCGAAACCACGGTTGAATGGGATATTATACAGCCACCATAAAAAGGGTAGATACCCCAATTTGCCCCTGTTAGCTTCGGTTGTGGACACCATCTTCGACTCACACCTGTTAGGCCCCCAACGCTGTATGGATTCTGCTGCAGCTCTTGCTCATAAGCAACATCCGTCTCCCGCCTGAACGGATCGCAACTTGACTCCATTCGGAACGCTCGTTCTGGCCGGCGAGCCGGCGATTCGAAGCTAAGCGCTCAGCAGGACGTCTTCTGAAATTGCCTCCAAGGCGGGAAGTGAGTCACTTGCTCAAAACCGATCGGTATTAAAATGCTCGTAATCCCAGAACCATGCTCAAAAAGAATTAAGCCGGATATCCGCAACTATTTCTGGCAAGGGCTTACTAACCGGATCACCAATCCCCGGGTTTTGAGTGTGGCTCAAGTGATGCTGGCTTCATGCACTGCTCTTCGATGCACAGGCCGCAACGGAACATACGTGGCTACTGGAGTCATTATGTTCACTCTTTCTGGGGCGCAAAGTCAGAAGAGGATTGGTTGTTCCCTTTGACCCACCACTGAAGGGGGGTGACTTTGATAAAATAATAAGTCCAGGGCTAGGCTTACACATGGGTATGTCTGAGAAAGAAACCACCAATTGGACCGCAGATGTTCGTCCATGTTTCCTTCCACCAAAACTTACGCCATTTTGGGGGTACCAACTCTTTTTCACAACCACAGCCAAACTGCTTCCGGTTACCAGTTTGGCCAATTTGTCACCCCCAAAAACCCAGCCATTTTGGGGTTACCAACTGTTTTTGACCACAGCCGCATGGCCGGGGGTCAAAAATGGGGTAATCCCAAAGCGGCGTATGCCCAGGTAAATGGAAAGGAAAACAAAAACACGGTTCCCTGGCAAAACAATTTTTGACCCGCAGCCCCATCTGAGTCATAACCAACACCCGGTACAAAAATGGTTCACCCAGAACCATGTCATGAATTAAGAAGGCGGATATTCGCAGCTATTTCTGGCAAGCCGAAGCGGTTTTGAGCCAGTGACTCATCTGGCTGTGGCTCAAACAAGTGGCACCAAAGTATGGCACCTTGGTAAATGGAACCAAAGACTAAACCCCGCGGTTTGCCCCAGCTCTTTAATTTTGAGCCAGCGACTCATCTGCGCCCAAACCGCGACATATATATATATATACACATATATATAAAATATATATACACATATATATATATATAGAATCCTCTCGCGACTCATCTGCCCAAACCGCGAGAAAAAAAGAAACAAAAAATCCGCTCGGGACCAAAGTCGGCCTCCCATGAGCCTTCCATCAAGGCCTCGGGCAACTCAGTCTCGCTGCGGCTCAAAAGGATAGGCCCGCCGGGCAAATTTCTTGGGCCGCAGGTTTTGGGCAGCCCGTGTTTTTGGGGTGCCCCAGTTTTGGGGGTTGCCCTAGTTTTTGGGTTGCCCTAGTTTTTGAAATTGGGGTTCTATTTTTGGGGTTCTATTTTTGGGGTTGCCCTGCTTTGTGTTTTGGGGCTGCCAAGTCTTGTTGACAAGACAAACCCAAATGCTCGAGTTCCCCTTCCAGAAAAAAACAAAACAAAAACAACAACAACAACAACTCCACACTCGATCCCGCAATGAGTGCCGGGCCTTGGCCACATGCACGGTGCAGTCTGTTCACAGCGATGTTTGTTTTGTCGAATCGGCACAGCTGCACATTTTGTTGGTGAAGCTGTCGAATCGGCATTGACGTGATTTCTGCATGAGCCTATCAACGCCTACCTCTGAGCTAAATGCTGCATTCCATGTGTCGCTCTCCCCCATGATGACACTACTCTCCCCACTTTAGAACCAGTACTTACTTGAACCCTACTAACTCCAAAACGACACCACATAGACCCAAACTAACACTTCGCCGTTTCAATGGGAGTCCGTGCAAAGCAAGCATGCAGCTTTCCTGCAAGAGCCTGATTTATGGATCATGAGGCAACGGGCACATCACATTGGATTGCTCAGCCCATCTTTCCCCCGTGCTATGGATGCTAGTCAAGCAGATCAGACCCCGCCGCGAGCTGGGAGATCCTCTGTGAGACGGCGCTTGCACTCAATGTTTCGAGTACATGCTCATCACATCGTCCTCCTGCGCTGCTCAACTACAAACCTGTGGGCATGCCAAACAATAAGAACACACATGTGCTCCGTCAAGGAGACACATGTGGGTCTCATCTTTTGTAGGGGACCCCCTCCAACAAAAAAAGAGAGAGTGGTTTTCCTTTTAGTTTCCCTCTTAAACCACGAAAACAAAAGGTACCCTCAAGAAGAGACACACCCATATGCATGGCACACTTAGGTCGTAAAGTCCTCGTCCAGGACTTGCCGACAAATCGATTCCACGGACTCGTCCACCTGGTCTGACATGCTTGCATTCAAAACACATTTCAAGAGTGGTTGTGGTGCAGGGTGCACGCACAAATTGTTTCACTCTTTCATGATGCAAAAACATAGCTCCGGTAATGCAAAGCTTCTGTTTGTTCTGCTGACAATTGAAAGTCGCCGCTTTGCAGCGCATGTTGAAGGACTCGGCAAGACTGTCGTTTGAGTTACCAGTGGAGCTCCCCGCATCCAGCCTCTAAATCAAAGGAGTCAACCATCACGTGCAGCCTCAACACGTGGGTGTCGCTTTTTGGTGGTACCTTTTTGGGTGTGTTTTAAAGGGAAACTGAAAGGACAACCACCAACAGAAAGGACACACATTGACAACGGTTGCACTTTGACATGCAGTCGGCAAAGGAACAATACCTGCTCTCGATGCACATCGCCTTGCAGTACTTGGAAATTACCCAGCTCAGGATTTCCAGGCGCATGAATACTGGTTGAACCATGTTGACACGTATGAGCGTGTCCTTTCTTTTGGGTACCCCTCTCTCGTGGTTTTCAGCAAAAAGCACGCATTTCTTATGGGGCTCCCTCCCAAGAGATACAGCTTTGGCCAGTGCTTTCTTTCCACAGCGCGCGCACGGCTGCGCCGCACGGTTCTACACTCAGGGCAGCTGGATGCAAAGGACTGGTCCATCGACCATGAATCGTCTGACATGATTGGAGCTGGGCCCAATGATAGAATGAAACAACATATTGGTTGCTTCACTTTGAGGCACTGGTGAAATCTAAAATTCTACCCCATACTTTTAGTTTTTGGTTGTGTCCAATTTGGCGGTTTACTCCTCTGGCGCCATCTTGAGAATGACTGAGCCTCCAGGCTCAGACTCCGATAGGTATGATGCAAAGTAAATGTTAAGCTTGCATTCATTTGGGTATGGGTCAAAATAAACCACCAGGAATTGGACCGCAGGTTTTAGTCTTTGGTTCCATTTACCAGGGCTTGCGCCATTTTGGGGAAGCCATGCATTTTTGACCCATAGCCAGTTGGGACTGCGCCGAAGCTCACAGAACTGCACGCCTAAGCAAGCCACTTCCGCAGCGTGTCATCAGCCTTCCGCTTCGCAGCATAGACCTTCTCCGCTGCCGCGCGCTGCCGCAAGTGAAGTAGGCCTTGCATTCCCAGCAACCAGCTCCTCTGCCATCTGGCTGTGGTTGTCAAAACCGTTTTGGGATCCCATTTTGGGGTAGGTGAATTCATCACCCAGTTTAGGCTTCCTATTTTACTGGTTGGATTGGTTGATGTTCACTGAAACCTAACCGATTTGGATTTTGAAAAGCCCATGGCCATCTGGCAGCTGCAACGCTGCACAGCCGGCACAGTGACAGGAACCGCAAACGGAACCGACGCGTTGCAATTTTGGGTGCCGCGCTATGTTTCTTCTGCTCCTCTTCAATGCGCCCCACGCAGCGCCTGGATGCAGCTTGGCTCTGGGTGTTTTGCCCGCCAGGCTCTCAGTCCAAACACATGGACCGTCGTTGCCTCACATGGCCACGGGCTTTTCAAAATCCAAATCGGTTAGCCCCCGGTGGTGAATTCACCTACCCCAAAATGGGATACCAAAACGGTTTTGACAACCACAGCCACATGTTCACCAGAAAAAAAATGAGCTGAGCGCCAGGCATTATCGCGAGCGCACCACTCAACTTGGCCTCTCCAGGTGAGCGCATGGGCTCGTGAATCTCGGCCGAGCTCTTTCCGTCGCGCCACGCGGCCACGGAAAACGCTTGGGACAGCTGGGAATCAAGACCCGGAGAAAAGGGTGAATCCAGAACCATGCTTCAAGAATTAAGAAGCCGGAGATCCGCAGCTGTTTATGTCTGGGATTGGCCCCTTACTGACCTTCATCTACCCGGGTTTTGAGTGTGGCTCAGCTGAACTTTGGCATTCTGCTTCCGCTTCCTCTGCGCAGCTATTCCCCTTGCCTTTTACTCAGCTGGTCAGAGTCTCTAGCTTGAAGTAGGTCGCGAGTCTCGGCTGTCTAGCTGAGAATCGCTGGCATTGAACTTGGTCTGCTTTCAGCTAGGTTTTGCTCCCGGGGTTGCTGTGTGACTTCCCGGCCCTTGATTTGTGAGCAACATGCGGACTTCCTTTGCTTTCCTGGCGCTGGTGGGAACTCAATCCTTACGCCGTTTCGATCGATGTTTGCCCAACATACGCAAACTCGGTGAACATTTGAACGCGAGCGTTTGCTGGCGTCTTGCCAAGAAGTTCAACCCCTTGTTTGATCTTACTTGTACTTAGCTAGAACATGGCTTGTTCCACGCCTGTCTTGGGCTGAGGGAATGCTTCTTCCAGTCCTGGTCTGCTTTTTGTGAGCGTCTCCGTCTCTGTCCGTCTCACTTGTTTGCTAGAGAAGCTGTTGTGGGCAAAGCCATTGATTTGCATGTTGTTTTCATGTTTCGTCCTGGCTGGTACTGGGGCTCACACCTTTTGCTGCGAGTCCGCAAGTCGAGCCAAGCTTAGGCTTGCAAAGCGAGTAACCTGCGCTCAGATTGGCTCAAACGACAGCAGTCAGTACGTGCATATTTGTGCATCGTGAAAGCTTGCGGTGATTCCAAACATGCTGGCAGTACATTTGTCCAGCCATGGCCGTTGCTGAGGAGGACAGGCCTACACTGCAAACACTGGGTGCTTTGGATTCGAGGTCAACGCCCCAAATTGAATGCTTTTGAGCTATTGATCTGCTGCGCCTGCCCCATGGTTCTAGGGGTTGATTCCCCATTCTTTTCAACCATCGTTCTTTCTCCCTGGGTTTCCGGAGATTTTCTAGAAAGAAGGATCCCTGGAAAGAATGGGGAAGGTACCCCTAGAATGGTACTGCCATGTCCAATGATGGAAGAAGCGCATTCTTAGGCCGCTGACTGCGGGCCCAAGGGCGCTGCACCGAACACCGCCATCTCCAGCAGAAACTTGAGGTGTATAGGTGTGTAGCTCTGCTCATTTCGCTGCCGCAAAGCAACAGTTTAGGTTCATATCAGCTTCTCATCGGAATTGTTGCCAACTGACGAATCGAATCCATTCTCTGATTCAGCTTGCGTTCTCCATATATTACTCGCAGCCGCATCTGTTGAGTTTGAGCTTCATTGCGTCCAAGCAGTGCATGCGTGCGGGCATGCGCGCGTGGGAGGGTGTGTGTCTGTGTGTGTGTGCATGCGCTTGCTTCGGGTTGTGTCTGTGGGTGGAGGTCCTGCTCCTCTCCAGTCCTATGCTTCCCAGCTCCCGAACCACACTGGTTCAGAAGCTCGGCAAGGCGCCGAGCTTCAGTATCAGCATCCCCAAAAACCATGTTGAGCTACAAAACTAGTTCGACGCTCCTCAAGTGAAGCTTCTGATTCGAACAAATAGCCTTAGTCCTACATCGCACCCTCGATTCGGGCGAAACCGATCTTGGCTTCAAGTTGCAAGCTGACGACTTGGACGTGACATCCATTCCTTGAGCCGCCGGTTTGAGGAATGCCACAAGCTGTGAGATTTGTAGATCCCAAGCTCCCCATGGACATCCCTTGGTGCCTGGCTGTTTCCATGGCCGAAAAAAACTCAACAGGCTGCAATAAGAAACGCAGAGCAAGTTTTGTGGTACACATGGAAAAAAAACTCACTTTGAACATCTTCACGACTGCGCAAGAATCGGGCACTTTTGTCATCGCTGTGTTGGATTGTCATATGTGTGGTCGCCGGTACGAGGGTTCCACCACCAGCTCGTCCCTGGGCAAAACTCGTGATGCTTGAAGGTTTCTGACATGCCTCACACACACATGCCTAGAAGCCAAAGCTGACCCATTTGCCTGTCCTTGTTCATCAATGTACTCCTCCCATTCCTCTTGAACCTGCGTTGGCAAGGCGTAGCAAAAGCAGGCCAACCGCCACTACTCTTGAGTGAAAGCGGAAGCAACCGTTCCTGCAGAAGTGGCAGGTACATGCAACATGCTGTGGGTTCACGCAACATCGTAACTATGCCAAACAAAACAAAACAAGCAGCACCAAACACACGCGCAAAGACAGGTGGCTTGTCTCAAGGAACACTGCTCTCCCAGTGCAACGGGCTATCTACGCCTCCAGCGAAGGCACGTACCAACCAGGCTCCTCAGCTTGGACACTCCATCACGGATTATCAAACAAATAGTCCGAACACTCTGGCAACATGAACAGCGCAAAGACCCTTGTTGCTGGTTTCTTGCGCTGTTGATAACTTTTGCATACGGGTAACACGGGGGACCCCGAAGGATGCAAATGGAAGTGGGAACACTAAGAAGTAAGAGAGCAAACAAGGTCGCAAGTCGTGAAGGCGCACGGTCTCACCACGGTCTCGCCACGGCTTCGAACAGTTGCCCACTGGCACGGCCGCTCGCGCGCGCTGCATCGGGGTGCTTCGCCCGAGGAACTCTTTGTCGTGTGTTGAGTTGCTCTCGCTGTGGCGCCATGCCAATGTGCAAAGCGCTCGATCCGTGGGGATCCTCGAAGGGCTGTTCGGAGCCGCGCGAAATCGCAACTTGCGAAGTACGAAAGTGGCGCGCTACGTGTTCGCCATTAGTCAAACACGCCAATTCAGGCAGCCTCTCCCTCGCAGGCACTGCCTGGCGCCAAGGCCCGCCCTTGGCAAAACAGTTGCGCTTTGGGGGTAAAGGTTGCGCATGCTGATTGTAAGAAACCTCAGCTTCGATTGGTTAGAGCTTCCGTCATCCAGGTTCGAAAGTGGCACGCCTGGTACTTGTGAAATTTTATGTGCATATCTGATCTCTGCACGCCTCCGCACATCGTCAGGACGTTCCAATGAAACCGCTGGCGCAGCAAGTACAAAGGCCTAAAGTGCTCCTCTCTCCCCACATAAGTCTGCTTGTTTTGCTGAGCAACAGGCGGCACAATGGGAGCATGACTGCACAGGTTACACGAGGCTCTGCTAATTTCCTTGACTCGTCTACACTGTACTGGGAAGGATGACATATCGCTCTCTCGTTTCTTGATTGCAGTCAAAGGAGTCGAGATGCAAACTCAAACAGCTAACTAGCAAAGCGACAAACCAAACCTAGCTAAGCAAATACGTAGCTATCAGCTCAATAGATGAAGCAAATGATTAGCCAAGTACCGGCCAAACAAGTGAGCTGGGAATGGTCGAGCAACTTCGCCTTCTCCATGACCCGACAACATGTACAAAACAGTTTGATCAGTGTAACCTGAATATGTGGCCAAAATGAAGCATAATTGTTCACGTCTACATCAATTATCAACATGCGCCCGAGAACAAGCAGATTCGGTGCTGCATCAGCCAAAAATGTATGTTCATGCAGTGGCATGGCAAGTACTGATGGCGTCCCTTAACTGCTCTGCAATTCGCCAGATAGTGCTTGCACATAGTGCTGTCGGCGCCGCAGTGCAAGAATATTCTTGCTCAAGTCCGCAGAAAAGCCAAAGCCCCATACTGTGGCTGGACGAAATCCATTTCGCACCACCGTTCAGAAACCCGGGAATGATGATCCCCCTGTACATACCAAACAATGGTTTCCCATGGTTTCAAAGTGGTGCAGGATTTTGTTCATCCACAGTAGTTCGCGGCAGTGTTCAAGCTGGACTGCGCAAATTTAGACATTTGCTTGCCTCGTGGCGTCTGATCGCCAGCAATCCTACAAAAACAATTCAGGAAATTTCAGGATCACACATGCATGCACATACACATGGCAGTTGATCAATATTCCTGTTTCCTGAAAACACCATCTTCCCGAGGAAAAACAAACAACGAACAAACACACAAACGAAAAACACAAACACAAACAAACAACCGCCTTCTTGCAAGGATCTTTTGATCAACCCCATACCAACGCGCGCCTTTCCAAGGCCCCGACTTCACGGCGTTGCAACCAAGTCGGATCTCCCTGCACTTGCGACATGCCTATGGTCTGAACTCAAATCATGCCCACGCCTCAGCGTGCACGAGCTGAGAACCCAGTTGCACGGGTTTTGCCGGATCAGGCTCGGTCTCAGTTGGACGACGACCCTTTCCACAGAGATGAGCCAGAAACACTCTGGAACACTCTGGTTGGGGGATCATGCCAAAACCCCGACATTTCTAAGCCTTTAACGTGCAACTCCAGGCATGCTTGTTTCGCAGGATGCCTTGCCCAAGCGTGCCACTGGCTGCTTGCGAAGATCCAGAGTACCATTCGCGTTCTGCTGCCTGACAAAGCACCTGACTTGCGCACAGCACGCAACCTGAAAGTGTGTGTGGGCACAGAAGATATCACGCAATCTAATATGGATACATTTTTTGTTTTTATCATTATTATTATGTTGTTGTTTCCCTTTACAAAAACAAAAAAAGATGAGCCAGATGGGTCCAAGCTCCAACAGCATGATAGAGGCACGGCTGCACATCTGTCATTGTCGGCGCCGTTGCTGTTGCTGCTATTGATTCTTTGCCATCTGCTGCTGCGGCTGCGGCTGCGACAGTGGCGGCCGCTCGTGGTGGCGGTGGTGGTGGTGGTGCTGGTGGTGGTGGTGGTGGTGCGGTGGTGGTAGCTTTGGTTGCCAAGCCAATGCGGCATTGCTATTGTTCTTCAAAGATTGGCTCTTCAAAGATTTACTCCACAAATGTTCTGATGAGGAACAAGCGCATCATGTTGGCCTTCTTGCAGACACAAGGCATGCGTTGAGGCAGCCACTTGAGATTCTTCTTGTGGGTGCGGGAGAAGTACGTGGCAGGCATTCCTGGTCTGCCCTGCGCAAACTCGCAAACTCACCCCTTGTCAATTCCAAATGAGGATCTAACCTCACAACTCTGGGTATGGGCTTGCAACAAAACTGACAGCTTTTTTGCAGTCCCCAAAACCAACAAATTGTCAGAACCAACACACCGAAGAAAACAGCGTGGTCCAAGAACCGTGAAGCTCTCATCTGCCTTGCTTTTCCAGTCGTCCAACGCTGTCAAAGCCTCCTCCACCTGCTGGGACGAGACCTCAAGGCGAAATCATCTTCCATTTGTTCTAGGGGTACCTTCCCCATTCTTTCCAGGGATCCTTCTTTCTAGAAAACCTCCGAAAACCCGGGGAAAACGGCCGGGAATGATGGTTGAAAAGAATGGTTGAAATCAACCCCTAGATTTGTCCAATGACATGGGGGTTGATCAAAAAGCCCTTTACATAGGATAACCATTGCTTGGAAACCACTGAAAAGATGATGTGTCTCACATGGGACAAGTTACCCATGGTCAAAAGTGGGGGCCAGGAATATTGATCAACCCCCACATTGTGGTCCCTTGCGAAAGGATCATAAGCAGAGTCCTTTTGCGGCCTTTCGCAATAACGGACAGCGCACATTTGCAAAATAACTTTCCTCATGCATACTACTTTCCAGTGCAAATGGTGTTTAGAACACTGCAAATTGTGTCTGGTTGCGTCAGTAAGTGCCCGGGCGTGCTCAAACCTTCCCAATGGTCTCGGTGCGGGTCCGTCTGACGCTATCTCCTTCAGGTCTTTGCTTCCGTAAGCACAACGCAGCCTGATCTGGTTGCGATTGGGATCTGGAATTGGCAATTCGCATCTGCACCGTTCTCTGCAAAACCACCGAAGTCCAGGTGTGTTTACGGTCCTATTGATGTACAAATGGACGTACCCCAAAATAGTTTCTTATAAATCGGATATACAGATATGGGGGGTTCACAAAGGGCACACACCCAAACATGTATCGGTACATATGGCTCATAGGCAGGGAGCAGGACTTTAGGGTGTATCTTCTCCACTTGTGTATGACCAAAACAACATAACAGGAACACCTGAGGTGACAGGCACAAAACAGAACAGGTTGGCAGGTGCATCTGCCCGCCGCAGATAGAAAAGCATGCATGCAGGAGCAACTCCGCGAGAATGTGCCGTCTGTTGGCGCAGACTGGATCAAACTGGACTCGCCGACCACTGAAGTTCAAGTCTCAGCTTGCGGCACGGCCCCTTAAGTGAGATAAACCAAAGCCATTGCCAAGAATGACAAAGCACAGGAAGACCATGCTCCACCTAAAATCCAAGGGTTCCAATCATCCAGGAAGACCATGCACCACAGAAATCATTCTAAATCCTTCCATGCCCCACCACGTGATAACAAGGACTGGATGCATGCCAGCATTGAGCCAGTCTGCTGGACCTCAACGGAAGCCACCCAAACATGTGTAGCCATGTTGCAAACACGTGTAGCCAGAGTCACTTGCTCAAAACCCGGTATTAAAATGGTTGTATTCCCAGAACCACGCTTCAAGAATTAAGAAGGCGGATATCCGCAACTATTTCTGGCTGGGACTGCCCCTGACTAACCTTCATCTACCCGGGTTTTGATTGTGGCTCAGGTTGTCATGCATGCTGCGAGGTGATTCCTTTCGCTGTCATAGCTTTGTTGCAATTTTTATTGGCCCCATGTCGTGAACAGGCGAAAAGGAGAAGGGCACCGGTTGCGACTGGCACTCCTTCAGCAAGCTTCTCGCAGCTTGTTCCTGGACTTCGCCCTGCATGTGATACCTGAAAAAGGCAACGCTTTTTTTTTGTTCATGCTCGGTCCTGAGACGAGCACTCTTTGAGAAAATGCAGAAGGAGCGGCACCAAGGCCTCCTTGCCTCTGCACACAAGTTTCGGCCGGCAACTTCTTGATCCGCCAGTTTTTCAAATTTGTTTCAGTCCACTCGGCCTTTCTTTGGCACATCTCCGTTTGCAGTGAAACCGTGACAAGCCTGTGGCGCGAATCCAAGTGATTCAGCTTGGACTCCGCTAAGGTTGGTGCCAATGTCTCATGCTCAGCATGAACTGACCTTCCCGTTGCCGCCGGCTTGTGCGAGCATACGCAGGCACGCGCTACCAAGCGCCGCCCACAAAAACCATCTGCCCATGTGCGCTAGCTGAGTTCTATAGGGCCCTCACTTCTAATCTGCTTGGTCTCCACGGAGTACTTCCTATATGCCGCATGTGCCACTGCTGCACTTCTCCCCCATCTCACAAATTGTCAAGAGCATAGGAGCGTCCGTAGCTCATGCCACGGCCATCGCCACCTCAACAAACGTGCTGACGTCCGACATTCCCAAAACCGGAAACCAAATATGCATCCTAGCAGCGTTTTTCATTTCCTCGCCTCATTGCTCAAGCTCAAGTGAGCTGCAGCTGCTTATCCATCATGCTCGGTGCACCGCTCGCAACCAAGGCGCTTGTACCGTATGCAAAGCACCTGAGACATGCATCTGCCCATTTTCTCTAAGTGACCTTCACGAGCTAAGGGGCTACTGCCAAGCCAGCAGTGACCACCGCAACGAGGACTTTGACGCCGAAACTGCCAAACGAGCTGGCGGAGTTCGCGTCCTCTGCGCCTCGCGTGGCAAAACGAAGCTCAATACTGATGGACGCAATCCATTTCGCACCGTTCAGAAACCCTGGCTTCTGATGATTCCCCTGCAACCGGCAAACAGTGGATACCATGGATTCATTTCGTGGTGCGAAATGGATTTCGCAACCACCCACATGGACCGGGACCCGGAGGGACCCCTTTGAGGGACCCCTTTTTGGTTGGCTTAGGAAGACCAGGACACGAACCAATTTTGGGGTGCCCTAAAAAAAGGTCACACCCACATGGTGCCCGGCCTTGAAAAGCCGGGGCTTGGCTCTGCCTTACAAATGAAAGCTTGCAGTCCGCAATGTGCAGGGACGAACTCCTGCACCACTTTGAAACCATGGGAATCCAATTGTTGGTATCTACCGGGTTTCTTGGTGCAGGATTCCGTCCATCCAAAGTACAGTGGATGGCCTTAATATTGCAAGTAAAGCAACCACAAACCATGGGAATTTGCAGGGTTTCCTTGGTTGCCCTCGCAATATTTAGGGCATCCACAGTATCTCTGCATCCTGTCAAGAACATGTTGGGATCTTTCCATTCGAAGCCAGCGGGCGAGAGCTCGTCACCGTCCTCGGCTTGGGAGAGTTGTGACAACGAGCTTTGAGGCGGACTGATTCAGCTTCACGGCAGCCATGCAGTCCAAAAATGGCTGCTTTGGATTCAGCCTGGGATTCTTGACCCCAAAAAGAGTGTCCTTGCTTTGTACGAATTCAATATATGAGCGCCTAAAGGGCCATTTCTGCAAACTGTCTCCAACCCTTTGATGCCCCAACGCTCGGGTGTTTCATTTTGTGTCGAGGCTCCTCAGAATGTTGCGGCTCTGTTAGGGGCCGCTAAGCCATGTCAACAAGCCTTGCAAGCTGGCCAAATCCTCAAGCACCAGTGCTTTGCAAACTAGGTTCCGTGAACCGTTTTGGGATTTTCAAATCCCGAATCCCAACGGATGGGATTGGGATGCCCGATGCCCGTCTTGAACTTCGAATCCCAAATCCCGGAGCGAACTTCACATCTAAGGCTGCCCCTGCGTCTTCCCAGGCCGTTCTGTCTGCAGAAGGATGGCTCCCTGCTTCACAAAGGCTGGCAGTGCGATCGCAACACGCCACTCCACCACAGGTTTGGCAACTCTACGGGCAGCGCCGGGAAAGTATGCCAAAGAATGAAGAGCATAATCCGGTCTCGCAAAAAAAACCAAAAAAAAACAGTAGTAAATATTGGGTCTTTCCCAGAGACCTGGAGCCCCAAGACACTTTTAGAACAGGCGGCGAGTTCTAAAGCAACACTAAGCTGGCTGACTCCCTGCCAAACCCGATCCTGGTCTTATGAGGCAACAGCTATGCTAGCCAGGAATGAGCAAACCAAGGCTTCTTTTTCCCTTGCTGTCCCTGCAAAGCTTGTGCCACACCCTGTTTACAAAGCTACCATTTGGGCCTGTTTCAAGGGATGAGCACAATTGGTTCTGGGAAGGGAATGCTCATACTCCAAGATAGCCGCTTGAACAGAAATGGAAAAGCCTAAAATCTCCTGCCATCGCCTACCTCTTCATCCCCTCATATCCCTTTCAAGGAACAAAACCACTCATGAACATTCCCATCTACCTTGACTTGGTTGCAGTTTTGCGTGCACATTTACCCCGCAATGTGTGAAGCAGCACCAACGCAGCGCAACCAGCCACCAGCTCAAAGAGCTAGTGCAAAGGAATTCCTGGGACAATTGCTTCCTGAAGGAATGTGTATTGCGAGTCCATGTGCTCAACTCAAGAAAGAGCTGCGAGGCTCAAGCGGCGCTTCAGTCAGATTGTTGGATAATCATATTCTAACTTCATCTCTTGTTTCCAATTCTCATTCGGCAGGACTATGAAATCAAAGGAATGTTAGCAGGAACTTCTGTAGGACTGGAACTAATTGATCTGTGCTTCTCTAACGAAGCTGTTGGCACCAACAAAAAAATGACCAAGCTGACAATCGCGAGACTTGGCGCCTCGAGCGGTCTCGGAGTGGGGGGCGGGGGGGGAGCCTGCGAGAACAGGAAGAGAAACGGAAAGGAAGACAGAGAATGCGAAGAAAGAGAAGAAAGAGAAGAAAGAGAAGGAAGAGAAGGAAGCTAAGAAAAACAGAAAGAGAAGAGAAAGAGCGGAAAGAAAAGAAAGGGATAATGCGAAGAAAAAGAAGAAAGATAAGAAGGATAATAAATATATTAAAAAAGAAGAAGAAAAAAAAGACAAGAAAGAGAAGAACGAGATAAGGGACAAAGAAGCGAGCTCCAAACTATAGTTCTGGTAACCCTGAGCTCCCCCCCGCCGGCTCCACTCACTTTGCAAGCTAAGTGTCCCTTTCCTCTGCATCGCCATCTCGGTCTCCGTCGGCAGCTCCATCGAAGCCATAGCCGCCGTAGGCGTACTCGTTATCTTGATCGCTGCCTCGGACGAAACACTTGATGCCTTGATAGGCAGGGAATGAGAAATGGAATGACCTTTACAAATCATCCGACTGCTGGTTTCTTTTAAGGGAATCCCTGGGTTCAAAAGCAACGCCTGTACAGCCTGCACAGCTGCTTGCCTATGGAAGGCAAACCCACCGGAAGGAAGAAAACGCTGCTCAATTAAGACCAAGCAGCCTGCGTCGAACCCGCCGACATCTGCCACCTGCTGCCCGATGGGACCAGGGCAAATCCTCCAGCCAGTATCCGCTGTGTCCTGCAAGCACTTATGAATTGAGTAAACCTTCGAAGCATTAGCAGCCAGTGTTGCACTCCTCGTCAGTAATCCACTGGATTGGTTCTGACAGCAGGAACATTTGCAGAGTCAAGAGCTTGAGATCAAGTACACTACTTGCACTTTGGGCTTTACTCTGTCTCTGAAAGCTCGTTTTCGCCATCTCACTTGCTTGCAGTGAGCCTCTTGGAACCAGACCATGTGGACTGAGCTTCCCTGAATCGCTTGCCAGTGCAGTGCCGAAATCACCACGCATGGCACAGTAAGCCTCCTGCCGGTATATACCCTGCCATTTACCCACAAAGCCTGCGAGAGCATGGGCCCAAGAGAGAAAGCTCTCAAGATCTGCGTGAAAGACACAGAGCTCACATGGGTATGGGTCAAAATTACACCGCCTGGAATAGGACCGCAGGTTTTAGTCCTTGTGGCCATTTACTTGTGGGTACCTATGCTTGACCCGCACCCACATCTGCCTCTTGAATTTCGGCCAACACAAGACTAAACTCGGCGAGCATATGCGTGCACGTCCATTCATATCAAGCAGCATCGAAGTGCATCTCCGTCGAGAACTGGTCCACAACAATGCTCTTGTTCTCTGGGTTGAAGACCTGAACAGGCTTGCTAGCTCAGCACTGCACTGTGATTAGGCTATGGAACGTGAGAAATGCTCAGGTGCTGTTCTCAGGCATGAACGGCAAGGAGATGAGTCATGGTTGTAAACATGGAAACACGGCTTTGCACGTGGGCACGGATGTTGTACAGTTTTGGGTCAACATTGTGTCTTGCCACACCAACCTCTTCTCCAAGTTTGGGATTCAATACAGTACGCGGAACAGGCAAACATTGGAACGGGATGAGAGAGCAGGCAGCCTTGGTTTTGCGAGCTATACACTTTTGCCCTTGAGCATGGCTGCTCCGCTCACTGGGAATTCTCCTCAAACAGTCTACGATTCAGACACAGGGAGGGTATGCACAGCATCACGCTTGTTCGCCTGCGGAAAGCCGTTTCAATACAACGGCTATGGTCCCTAAGCAAAAACTCATACCCGCTTGAGAAGAGGCGCCTGAATGATGCAGTCCTCCATAGGGCCATACTTCTCTGGAAAGTTCCTTGGAGTTGGAGAAACAGCTTGCACAGCTTTGCCAGCAACCCAAGAAATGCCCCTGTGAGTCATACTCAAAACCCGACATTAAAATGGTCCAAGCCCAAATCCATGTAACGACATACAAAGGCGGCCGCAGCTATTTCTGGCTGGTCCCTGACTAACCTTCATCTACGCGGGTCTTGATTGTGACTCAATTTTTGACCCCAAGGTAGACGCCTTGAACCCAGTGGTTGACTCCCCCAAAGGGGAACCCCCCAAGCCGCAGTGAAGCCCTGATTATTTCTCAAGGGAAGCCCCCCAAGCTCATCCTCAGCTTTGACTCGGGCTGGTAACGCAGCCCTGCGAATCGAGTGGGCATGGGCCGTCCACTGAAAACATCTCAGGTCCTTAATCATGCACTGTTGCAGTTTCTGCAAGAAAAGCAGAGCGCAGGGCCAACAAACACGCACAGCAAGTCATAAACTCAGTCAGCTCATCTCAATGCTTCTCATACAACCCGCACCTGAAGGAAAGTCTCCCATACAAAGCTTCCAGCCTCACGAGAGGTGGGGTTTAGGATTCAAAGGAGCTCTGCACCTATTTGCCACAAGCTCCAAACAAGCTCCACAGGGAACTGGCCGCACACAATCCTTTGCAAGACCGCACGCGGAAATTCACAAAGCGAACGCCCCCGCCTCTCATGGTGGTATCTCCATCTGATTCCCAAGACATCGAGGTATGAGGCACGATCCCGGCAGGTTGCCTCCGCCCACCTGGAAGGTCAGCAAGGAACCAAAAAAATACCAACGCCGCAAGAAGCACTTTGAAGCAATCAATCAACTGACGCGCCAGGAATTGACACCATCAAAATGCTCAGTAAGCTAGTATGCCACAGCTAACACGTTGCAATGGTGCCAGCTTCATACATAAGTGTCGTCCAATCTTGAACCAATTGTTTCTGCAAGGAAATCTCAACATGTACAAGTGTTTCAGATCCACCTGTCGGCTTAGCCTAAAGACGCCAAAGCACTGAACTGTTGGCCATTCACTGTCAGCAAGTCGTACTTGTATTCGGTCTGGAAGTCGACAACTCGAACAGGTCGTGCCAGGGTTGTGTTGACTTCGATAGTGCAGTGCTCGTTATCGCCTTTGCAGCTTTGCATGCGGGGGTTGATCAAAAGGTCATCAACACGGGACGACCATTGGGGGAAACCACTGAACAGATGCTGTCTCCCACTACATGGGAAAGGTATCCCATGGTCATTTGGGGACCAGGAATATTGATCAACCCCCATGCATGCACCAGGTGCTTGGGGTTCAACTTGGCCTCGAGCTGTAATTGGACGGATAGCCAGGACTTTGGATGCAGCCATCCTGCATGATGCATGGTCCCGACCTGACATAGTCGAAAGGCAGTTGCCTAGCTCGCCTGTGCGTTAGCTCAACTATTGACTAATATCAGCTTCCCTCCTCTACAAGAACCAGGGCTTCAAATCCCCAGTTCCCACCAATCCAAACTGCCAATCAGGGGTTGCCTGCTATGTAGGCAAGGTCAGAGACTCTGCACAACACGCCGTCCTTTCCTCACGACCCGAGGTCTTGGCAGAATCATCCAAGGTCCGGAGATCGACGCAGCTTGGCCACCTCCGCAGGCCTCGAAATGGAGCAACAACAGCAATCCTTACATTATACACCTGAACATTGTAAATCGTGGTTTCCCTTTATTTTGGTGAGGAAAAAAACACATGTTTCAAATGGGCAAAATGTATCTTTTAAGGAGCGCTGAACAAGCGCAACCAAGCTCCACGGAAAGAAACAAAAGAACAAGACACGAGCAGTGGTCACGAGTTTTGGTCAGGGCTCGCAGCAAGCGCTTTCTGCGGTGTAGCCATTGTTCCAGTAGTCGTCCAGGCTACCCCATGCATTATCCCAGGAAGTCTGGCCTTGCCCTGCGGGACTACACCACCTTGGACAAATCAGCAAGACCATTGTTGGCTCTCAGGAAATGAGGGAATGACCCCTATAAAACATCCCCCATGGTTTCCTTTAAGGGAATCCCTGGGCTCAAACCCTGGGTCATTCCCTACTGAGCACCAGCAAGTTGTGCCAGTATAAGCAGCAAATGTCCCTCGTCTCCCATGAGACTCATGTTCTAGCCCTGCCCCTGCCCGCAACATCTCTTTGGCTTGCTTGATATTCTAAGCCACTGGTTGTTGGCATAGTCGCTGCAGGTAAAGGCAGTTGAGTCTGTCCAGTCCACAACATCTCGGCAGTGCGCCGTGGTGGTGGTCCACCTTAATGAGTAAGTTCGGATGAATATTCTTTCTCATGCAACCAACTCCTCAGAATGCAACAGCCAAGGTTGTCGCTGTGGCTGTGGGGTTGTGGAGCCCGCATCAAATATCGAGGAAGTTGTAATGCTTGAACTGCTCGTGGAGAATGAGGTCAGGTTGGGCTCCAGAGATGATGATGCCGCTGCTGAAGACCAGGATGATATGTTCTGGCATCACGGGAATCACTAATCCAAATGGCTTTGGCTCAAAAAACCGGTACCAACATGGAACCTTGGTAAGTGGAAACATGGATCAAAACCCGCGTAACCCCTCCTGTTTAATTTTGAGCCACACCCAAATGATTGCAACAAACAACAACACCTCCGACCCGTACAATGCTTGTGAACATCTTCCATCGTCGAGGCTCGCTGACTTCGGCAGCTCTGGTGAGGTTTGGGCAAAGTTTCCATCCTCTTCCGGTGATGTTATCATCAGACACCCAATGAATAGATCCATTAGGAACTTCGCCGTCTGGTCTCAGATTGCCGCTGAAGAGTTTGCCATTGATGCTAACCTCGGTTGCTTTCTGCTCCCCTGCTAAAAGAAGAACTTTTAGTGGTTTAGTGGAAAACCCATTAGTTGGCAAAAAGTTAAAGTCCTAACAGCCAAGCAAAATGCACCAAAGTAACATAGTCGTTCCAGTATTCAACGTCCCAGTCCAGAACCATGATGGGTTTTGCAATCGTGCTGTTCACGATGAAGGTACAGCTCTGATTCACGCTGTAATCGGCAGGGTAGTTCGGGCTCAACAGGCAGCCATCTTGGACGGTGCATGGCCCTCTCATCACCTCCCACATGCCTTGGCACACTTGTCAAAGTCGAAAACCATGATAGCACATTGTCTGATGGTTTCATTCACAAACACTCGTTTTGGGATTTCGAGCGATACGTTTGTCTGTTGATCTTGTCACTCCAGACCAATTGTGCTGCAAAGATATATGCCAACCCAACAACAGCCAGAATGATTGCAAAGGCGTTCTGCTCTGTGAGCTCTGCGTCAGTGTTGCATCAGCTGCAGTTTGCAATGCTACTTTGTGTTCCTGCTTGGCGCAGAAAAGAGGAAACCGTACTCAAATCGAGTTCTGGATTTCATGATGCAACATGCACTTGCACCAGCCGTAAGGCGTCTCTAGACGCGGCAATGTGGATCCAAGCAAGTTGCCACTTACATGCTCTACTTGGCCACCTCCGCAAGAACAGCAGGCAGCCTGTGCCGAATAGCCATCGTTCCACAAATCTTCAATGTCCTTACATTGTGACCCGCAGCACAAGCTTGCTCTCGATGTGTTCATCTTTGCAAGCAATTGCATATGCACACATTCAAGCAGCGACAGGGCAAGCATCAAGCATGTTGGCGCAGTCATATGAGGCACCGACGAAGCTGCTTACTTACGGCAGCTTCATTGCTTAGCTGGTGAGCCCCCCCTATCGTTTTCCAGTGCTTTGTGTTTTCTAAGGGGGGAGGGGAGGGGAGGGGCAGGGGAAGGGGAGGGGAAGGGGAAGGGGAGGGGAAGGGGAGGCGAAGGGAAGGGGAAGGGGAGGGAGGAAGGGTAAGGGGAAAGGGGAGGGAGAAAGGAAAGGAATGGAGGAAAATAGGAAGGCAGGACGGGGAGAAGGGAGGACGAGCATGGAGGAAGAGACACGAGCAAAAGGAAGGAGGACAGAAAGGACGCGCGGGACGAAGGTTTCTGAAGGCAGGAGGGCAACGACTGAAGGAGGAAGAGGCAGGAGGGAAGGAGGATGAAGGGAGGAAGCGAGGAAGTAGTGAGGAAGTGAGGAAGGGAGGAATGGAGAGAGGAAGGGAGGAAGGGAGGAAGGGAGGAAGGGAGGAAGGGAGGAAGGGAGACAGGGAGACAGGGGGCAGGGGGGCAGGGGGGCAGGGGGGCAGGGGGGAAGGGGGGAAGGGGGCAAGGGGGGAAGGGGGCAATGGGGGCAGGGAAGAAGAGAAAGGAGGACGAGAAAGGACGAAGGATGAGGGAGGAAGGGATGAAGTTGTTCAGACCGCCCTCCACAACTAGAACATTTCGCCCAGCTTCCCAAAGCTCTAGCTATGTGCCAAAACCAAATACACGTTGCGCGCGTGTTCCTCGCAGCCCGGACTGCTCGCAGAAACCACAAGGATAGCACTGGTCCCTAACAGCGTGTCTCCAATCTCGGAGCACGCTGCACAAACAAAATGCGCCATCACAGGGGACGCAACTTTTGTGCTGCAGAAGCAGTCGCGCAATTTGGCCGTGTTGAGGGCCAAGACATTGCTGCAAGCCAGATTCTTAAACAACTTGGTTGTTCAACATGGGGTGGGGGAAATTCAAACCCGAAGCCGAAACCCGTAGTGGGACACGAACAACAGCGCCATCGGGCATGAGGACAGCTCCGGAAAAACGCGACAAATGAGGGCGGGCAAGCCATGCCAACGGGAATCACTCCACTTGGCAAGCCCCCTGCCCCCAAAGCAAAAGTAACCTGTCTAAACTGAGTGCCTTTTATCAAATGAACTATTGGAGGCCCCTATCACGTTCCTAATAGGCGCGATTTTTGCTTTCCAACCCCTTGCGTGAACCAACATGCCGGAACATCCTTCCAGGGCTATTGTGTTTTGTCAGTCCCATATCGTTTGCCATGGTTTTTGTTCGCATTTCCGCAACATCAATAAAACACCAAATACTCATCTCAACAGCTGTAGTGTGGATGTTGCCTCATATCAAGACACCATCATACTACTTCTGCGGATCGAGCTTCGAACCATCCACTGTCCCATCCAGGGCCCTTGTTGCCATCTGATGTGCACCAGCTCTGGTTGGCATACCTTCCGCGTGCCGGCACTTAAGCCAAAGCATAGGATCCTTTGGAATCAAAAGGTTCCGTACGATCGCATATTGCATGGCTCTACGATCCCATATTCGGAAAATTCGGAATTGTGGTCACAATTCTCTCCAGCTCTTTATTTGAAAATTGATCAATTGGCCCCCAAATGACCGTGGCCAAGTTCTCTTCTCCCATTTCGTAAGGGACATATCACCTTTTTTGTGGCTCTCCAACCAATGGTCATCCCATGTTCATGACGCTTCAACCCCTTGCGGCCAGCTTGCTCTGCGCATGTGTAGCCCTCAGAGTCCGCCCAGCCAATCACATCGCTGCACTCCGAGGTCCTGGCATTTCGTCTGGGGCTCGAGCTTCAGGCATTTCGGGGTGAGAACATGGGAGGTGTTGGTTGCTTGATGTTGGTTTGGATCGCCCTTACCCTGAAATGTGTAAATGCGGCCTCGGGAGCAAATGAGCGAGCCTCTTGGGTCCTCTGCCATGCTTTCGGTTCTTGGGTCCCCGTTCCCCCTGGCAACCCACCTGCGATCTCCGAGGCGCAAGCTGGCCTGCGAGCTGCGCCATGCTTTCACAGATGGGGGGGGGTTGATCAAAAGGTGCCGAAGACGTGGGATGACCCTTGGGTGAAACGACGATACACAGTGCTATGTTCCACGAAACGGGAAAAGTTATTTCAGTGGTCAAAACTGGGGGCCGAAGGGAATATTGATCAACCCCCAAATCAAGTCTCCCTTGCCATGCATAACTGAGATTCGGGGAAAGGCGTTCACTGATCTGCTTGAGCTTTTGCCTCGCAAGTGAGCCTAGCCAGCAACTTACTACATACCCCGAGACTTGCTATGCAAGCATAGCACACGGCCGTGCCTTCACCAAGCAAAACGACCCGAGCCAGGGCCATTGCAGTCTCATTCCACGATATCTCCGTGTCAGTTGTAGAACCAATTGATACTTCAGGCAAGTCTGATTTCTTGGGTTGTATGATGCCATCCAATTCACTACAGGCAAAGCAGATTCTGGGATGCTTTGCTAGCTCGTTGCCATGCAGGTCTAGTACTACAATACTTCGCTGTTGATACAGTACTGCATTCATGCAAGCGATGCCTCTGAGGGTCGAGCACAGGCACGGCTTGAGTCACAACGCATGCTATGTCAACACCCACACACACACAAACCTATCAGCCACTAATCCACAGGCTGTGAGTCGAAGCTGCCTTGTGCAAGTTCTGGTCTTGCAGCCTCGAGTCGTAGACGTGATTTTCTTGTGCTAATAAGAAATAAGCCAAACCACTGAGTGAATGCAAGCACATCATGACACGCCTGTGGCCATCGTATCTGCTATCACATTTCCACTATCCCCGTTCCACTTTCAGATTCATGCTGACCACTAGAGTACTGAATTGAGTTCAGCTGCCTCAGCCGCCATCAGCGTCAGCCAGAGGACTAGAGCAAGTGATCCTTGAAGAGACTTTATCTCAGCTTTCCTTTGACAAAGGCCACCATGCTTTGAACCCAAACTGCCCTCCTTCTAAACTTATGACTCACTCCCCTTCAAAAGCATGCACAGTAGTACAAAGAAGCTGCAACTGTTCCGGTGCTAGCTGGTTCTTGCAGTCTCAGAAGCCCAACATGACGGTCAGCAGTGGCTTCTTGCATCTTGCCTTGATTTCTGCTGGCTCCGGTCTTATGCAGGCGGAAAGCCCAACAGAATGCAGCATGAGCTTGATGAAATGCTGGTGCACTTTTTCCCCGTGGCATCCTGGAGATACAGCACTCCCAACTCAGATCTGAAGAGCGGCAGTTGAGTCACACTCAAAACCCGGTATTAAAATAGTCTAATTACCCAGAACCATGCTGAAAAAGAATTAAGAAGGCGGATGCCACGGATCTCCGAAGCTATTTCTGGCAAGGGGATCGTCCCATTGCCTTGGAAAAGGCTTCTTTGGACTTGGAAAAGTCCCACCAATCCCCGGGTTTTGATTGTGACTCAGTTGGTCTCTGCTCCACGCGAATCTCTTGGATCTGAGCTGGGCTGCCGGTGGTGCACTCTCCACGCGCTCGCTCTGTGAGCACATGGGACCGTAGGCCTGCCAGGGCTTGCGCTTGGACTCCATCAACCCGAGAAATTCAAAATGCAATTGCTTTTGCTTGGCGTCGAATTGGTGGGAAAGTACCGCAAGAACTGAAATGTGCTACTACCTGACGTCAAAATTCAATTGCACTGGTGGAGTGCTGCAGTACCTATTTGCAAATGCCGAAGTTCAAGTTCCTAACTTGTTTTGCTGAACAAGTGCATTGGACTGACATTGCTTTTGCATCGCTGCCTGTACAACAGGTGCTCCGGCAAGCTCGGGACTGCCATGGGCCTAACAGCTCGATTGCCGAGTTGGAACATCTCGCTCGCGTTTCTCTCGCGTTTTCTTTTGCAGCCCGACACTGACTCACACCAAAAAATACGTGGGTCAGCGTTCTTTTAAATGCATGCCAAGCGGCCATCCACCGAAACTCCAGGCGTGCACTTACGTGCAACAATGAACCATTCGGAGTGCGTCTGCTGCCAGGCAGACGAAGCTTCAGCTATTCTGTGAGACGATTTGACATTCACCGATCTATTCGGGCTGAGATAATTTCCAAGACACAATCAATGCACATCAACATCACAGCCCATGTTCCAAAGAAAACACTTGGTAGTTCTTGCTGACCTGCACAAACAATAACCCATGCCAGAACACGATTGGCAGCATTCAGAGGCGGTACACATTCCGGCATACGAACCTCATTGCACGCATCTGGAAGGACTATCATTTTGAATGTACTCCATGACAGCGTTGGAACCTACCTAATGCAAACCGTCTCCGCACGTGCTTGTTACATATCTGGATTCACACAGGTATGTTGATTTAGACTGTGGTTTAACAACAACATACATTTCATCTCCTGTCGAAGCAGGTCGCTCATGCCGAAAAGCCGCTGGCGTCAGTCGCTCGACGACTTTTGAGCCGCTTCAGCAGCCGCCTCAGCACCTTGAGTGGGGGTTCTCCTTTGCTTCTACGCACAAGCTTGTTGGCTTCCCCACCTATGCCATTGATTTCGATGACCTCAACACCTGCGACAGAAAAAAAGGGAAACAATGTATCAGTTGTCAAACAGGTTTCGAAACCAAGGTCCCGAGCATGTAGGATGTTCAAAGCAAGCTGTGGCCGGTGCATCTCATGCCATTTCGTGCAGTACAATTCCCAGCCTACAGTGAGCGAGCCAGCTGTCACAAAATCCAACCAATTGTCGCCTCAGCGTGGTTTGGCCTGCGATCAACTCCCACGCAAAGTCATCATAACCAACGGTTTAGACATGTTACCAATAGCCCCGCCCGAGCGGTTCTCTCCAGCTGAGACTCCGAAATCAGCTCCGGCAATCACATGATCGGCGAAGTTGTGCGTGAGAGGGCCCTGCGGCTCAGCTGGCAGACTAGACAGCGGTCTGCTTCCTATGCCATTGGAGACATGAGTCACACTCAAAACCCGGTAAGATGGCATCCATGTAAAGAACTGAATGGCGGCAAAACCCTTGCCTCCAACTGCCTGGGTCTTGATTGTCACAGAATTCAAAGGCCTGAATGACGTCGCCAATGAACAAATTGAACTTGATGTCCAATCCTAAGGAAATTCAAGCTGCTTGACGCCGGCAAAACAATCACAGCGCACAGCGCTACATAGTTCCCAAATGATGCTTACCCCGTACTAATACGGTTGACGCGATATTCAGCGGACACGATTGGCCGACAGTGATGTGAATCTTGGCCGACGAGAATGTGATTTTCGGCCGACACATTTGTGAAATTTGGCGTCATTCGCGAAACTCGGCCAACGTTCGGCCAACTGCCGACATTGTCGAGGCCGTGGTTTGCCAGCGGGGCATCCCGACCATCCCGACAATCATTCCCTCCATCCTGACCCTCCCAACTGTCTAGACCCTGCAAACCCCGACCATCCCAACCGTCCCAATCAAACCTGAGCCGACGTTGCGCGCCTCACAAAGCTGGGACCATGCCAGCTGTCCCGACTGTCCCGAGCATGCCAATCATCGTGACCATCCCAACCATCCGACCATCCCGCCGGTACTGACCCACCTTGAAGCCACGCTGAACCAACCCTAAACCATCCCCAAAGCCGTCCTAAACCAACCCCAAACCAATCCTCACCCCACCCCAAGCCCACCCTAAACCCTAAAACCCTTAACCAACCAAAAGCCAGCCAAAAATGACCCTAACCAGCCCTAAACCAATCCTAAATAACATCAAATTCACCCCAAACTCAACCTAAACCCATTGTAAACCAACGTCAAAGACACCCTAAACCAACCCTTTGGTTAACCACCCTAAGCCACTCAAAAAGAAATCCAAACAGACCCATAACCCACCCTAAACGGACCCGAACTCAATCCTAAACCAACCGAAAACCAAGCCTAAAACAACCCTAAACCAACCCGAAACAGACCCTGAACTCACCCTACACTGAACACCCCCCTGGCCATCGCGACCACCTTGACGCATGTCAGGTTCACAGAGATGTCTGATGTCTTGATGATGCCAACAGCCAGGCCATCGTTCGAGTTCTTGGGCTATGAATCAGTAGCAGCCGCTTTTTTGGGGTGTTGTGGCTTTGTTAGTACGAGGCAGTTGAAGTGCTACGGCTGTCCTCTCGCTGCCAGGAGTCTGCTCTGTCGAGCGCGCGCCACCCCAAGAGCAACTTTCGTGTGCGCAAGATCTGCGATGGTACCCACAAGGGGTCAAAATCCCGTACCCCCACTAAAATAGACTCAATTGGGCGGTGCACCTACCCCAAAATGGTACCATTGGTTTTGACCCACGCCACATGATTCCCCTAATCCCGCTTTTCGCACCACAGCACAGGTTTTAGCACAGTTTGTTTTGAACATCAAGGGTGTGAGAAGACCGTGAAAGGTCAGACCCTTTGAAGCCAGTCTTCTCAAAAATTGACAGTAACACTACTACTGCTACTACTACTACTACTACTACTACTACTACTACTACTACGACTAAGACTACTACTACTACTACTACTACCACTACCACTACTACTACCACTACCACTACCACTACGACCCGTACTCCTACTCCTACTCCTACTCCACCTCTGCTGCTGCTGCTGCTGCTACTCATAGTGATACGAGTGATGCATGTCCCCACCCAGAGGACGCTCCAATATCAGGTTTTTCAGGACCTCGCCAACGTTGACAGCCGGGGTTGATCCGGACATTGCCCTGATTGCAGCCAACTGTCTGTCTCCGGTGTCTGTGACGACCTGGCAAACAAGCTCATCTACGTTGTGTGGAGTCCTCTTTTGCACAAAGTTGCTGCATGCTGTTACATGGCCCGCAACTTTCGCTTGCGCCTTGAACTTGATCGCACCACTCAAAGGTCCCTCTGCAAAGCGAACCTCAGCCATCGAGGCTCCGCCGCGAGTCAGCCGCGTAATGCCTATTCACAACGATCACAACACACGGTCGTGCACACATGGCATGTGTTTGCTCAAATAGCCAGGGTTCAGATTTGCATCAAGTCAGAAGCCCACGCACACTCTCGAAAGAAATGCTAGCATCAAGCACTATTGAACTTCGCGCATTGCAGAAACGCTTGAATTTCTTGGAGAGCTTTTGCATATTTTGCTTGGCTTCAGCTGTCGCAAAGTCCAGTGGCCCCAAAGGCCAGTAGTTCAGCCCAAAGGGTACATGGACTTGGTGCCCTTTGATGTGTCCAGCGCCTTTCTATCAGCCTCTAGTACTTTACAAGTATCATTTCTGGGCACCTGAAAGGTCGATTCGGAAGAACCGCGTTCCTTCAGCGACCCTTCCAATTACAAGCCCTTCAACTTACAATCGGCGGTGCAGCTAATTTGGTAGGTCCAAAACGTCTGGGATCATGCCTTACATTGATACATACACCGTTTTTTTTTCCTTCTTATTTGTTTTACGACTCAAGTTCTCCCCGGCCTCGTATCTTGACTTCTGCTCTCGCATTGTCAGCCCGTCCAGGTCACCAAGGTTAGGAAAGACCTGAACTTGCCGCAATTCCCCTCACGCTCACGGCGAACACTGCTTCGAAAATTGTGACGCGACAATACTGTGGGTGGACAAAATCCATTTCGCACCACCGTTCAGAAACCCTGGTTTCTGATGACTCCCAATGGTTGTTGCAAAGTGATGCGAAATGGAAATCGCAACCATCCACCATATGTCAAGATCGGCACTAGAAGTCGCAGTTCCGGAAGCCCACCGGCCTGCGGATCTTTTTTCATGCGCCGAAAAACCTCAAGTTGCGCACGCCTCAAATTGCGGCGAGACGAGTGGCCTGCCGACGGAGTTTTCTCTTGCGATCTCTGGCCACTTTGATTTCAGCATACGCTGGGCCTCACTAAGCAATCTTTGAACTTGGCCTTGATACCTCGGCGTTGGTCAACAGCTGCGCGGACACAATTGAACTTGTAGACTGTTGATTCAGTTATATGATAAATTCAGTTCTGTTCAAGCAAGAGGCTATCGATTCGCCATTCCACTCGGGAGGCTGAGACGCCGTTGATTTCCTGTGAACAGAATCCAAGATGCTCCCTCAGTCACGTCATGAAAAGATGCTTGAAGATCTTCAAGCTTTGCCAGGATGTGTCGGCTGTTGAGGCGGAGAATGACAACGGCACGTTCATGCACATAGGTGTCCTTTTGCAAAAATAGATGGCCCTGGTAAATGGAATAAAGCCCATCTAAACCAGTGCCTTGTACTTTTAACCACACTAACCTAAAAGGACACCTATGTTCATGCAGCTTCTGCTATCATGCTGTGACAGGAGTTGAACACCAGCCTTCTGCTTGACTAACAAGTTTTCCTGGCCCAGCTGTCCAGGAAATGTCTGTTTCTACCGCACTTTGAACAGGTCAGGCCCGCAGAGACCGGCAGAGACAATCCCGGTGGAGCAAGGAGTCGCTCCGTATAAGACTTCTGAAGGACGGGTTGTCCTGTGGCAGACATTTCTGGCAGCTCCTTATCTCCCTGTTTGGAAGCAACTTTAGATACCCTCCCAGCTCCCAAACCTCTCCCTTCCAACCAAGAGCTCCACGTTTTTGCTTTCGGGCTTTCGTCACTCCTTCATCCCTTCCTTCTGGAACCTGCGGAAGCTGATCTGCAGGCACCTCGGCTTCGGGCCTCCCAAGGAACGTGGAACCTGACGTGACCTTTAGGGGTCCCTTTAAAGGGAACTCGGTCGGGTTCGCATGTTACTTGCTGGGAGGGCAGTGGCTTTCATAAATCTTCAGCATCAGGGCGCTGACCGTCTTGCAGCGGCTGCCCCTGCCCGCGCGTTTCTGCTTCTTGTTTTTTGCAGGAACTAAGCAACACATCAGCTTCCATCTGGTTAAGATCCCTGAACAAAAATTAAAAACATATTTCGCTTAGAGAAAATAGGGAAAATAACTTGATCCCTAGGGAACATATTTAACGTAGTGAAATCGATTCCAACTTTAAAAACCAACAGGGGAAAATGAAACATATTCTTAAGCAAATGGAAGTCAATGACATGGCCATGGGTCAAAATCCCGGAGACCTCCAGTGAACATCCAAATCCAACCACCAAAATAGGACGCCTAAAATGGGTGGTGAATTCACCTACTAACCAAAATGGGATCCCAAAACGGTTCAACGACACCCACAGCCACATGGTGCAATCGGTGACTTGCGATGCCGATGCCTTCTGCCCGGGCCGAGCGAGGCGATTGTGTCCTGGCTTAAATCTCACAGGGCTGTCCGTTTTCAGATCTTCGAAAAGTGTAGCTTTTAGTGGGTGAAAAACGGAAATACCCACTAAGCCAACCAAGCTAACCAGCTCATTGCTGCAATTCAGCAAACCTCACTCAAAGTTGCACTCGAAACATCTAGAAATCATCCAAGCAAAACCTGAAACTGGTCGCAACAGCCTGAATCGACTCCGTGTCATAGGCCCTGCCGACAGTCAGCTGCTGTGCCTACAAGCCAGGCTTCACTTCAGCGGCTGGATTGGCACTAAATGAGAAACAGTGGTGACTTATCTTGCATGAGCTCCGCACGCAATACCCCAGCCGGCGCTCAAAATAAACTTAATGATGTTTGCCCTTTTTGATATTCGCAGGGACTGCCTTGGTATTCTCCTCGCAACCGGCCAACTGCTGCAAATGCTTGGTCTCGGCCAGCATGTCAGCTAGGTCCTCATCGGCATCGTACGATCTGTCTGAACGTGCAACTGGGTGCATGAAGCACACGCGAGTCGCAATCAACATCGATCGGTATTAAAATGGTTGATCCCCAGACACTAAAATGGTCGGTCCCCAGAACCATGTAAGGAACTCAAAAGGCGGCCGCACCCATTTATGGTTGGGAGTGTCCCTTACTACCCTCCAATTGCTCATGTTTGCTGCGCCTTGGAGATCTGACCTCTAGATCGTTCCAATTTCTGCACCTCAGCATCTACATGTACACCATCGTCCTTACCTTGACCTGGGAACCAGGCCCGGTTGCTGACGCCTGGGTACCAAAGAATGATCTCCAGTGACGCAAACAGACTCGTGCCTGCAACAACCAGTTCCAGCTGCGGTGCCTGCCCAAAGCTGTCGACCAAACAACGGCGAATCCGGATCAACTTCACAACTTGTCGGAAGCTGCAAGCTTTCCTTTTGCGCTCATGCTCCAGTCTTCTGAAGTACTGGCGATTTCTGCTTCTGAGGGCGTTCGCTTCCTGCCAAAACAGGCTGTGAGTTTGAGTGTGACTGATTGCTCATTGCCTTCTGACCAAATGCAGATGTTTACTTGCTTCCGAGCGTCTTCAATCACGGTTCCGCCATCAAGGTCAGCCTGACAGGCAGCCACACTGGGGCAGAAGAAAGAAAGCACATGCTTTCGGGCCTTGCGAATCAGGTGAATCGCTGGAAAGGGTGAGCGGTGCAAGGCGTTGTCGGGAAGAACCTCCAAGTCCTGCAGCTCTCACTCCTTCTTTTCATAGGGATCCGGATGCATTCACCTGAACATTGCAACTTGTAAATGGTGGTTTCCAACTATATTTTGGTGGAAAAAGCAACATGTCTCAAATGGTTGCAAAATGTATCTTTTATAAGGAGCCTTCTTTTCATCTGTCTTCGTTCGCTTGTCGAACCCTAACCATGCTGCCACGCAAGCGCAAACCTGTGTCTCTTTGTGTTGACAGCTGTTGCCAGCAAACCGCCTCGTTTTTCAGGAAGCTCAGGTGTTCTAAATCACTGACATTTGTGCTTCTGCCATGAGTCGTGCACCATTTGCAAGATTACCCGGCGCCACACAGTGGCCCAACCACTTGCTTGTCAGTACTCAAAGGGTATGGGTACAGGTATTGTGCGCCCCAGGCATTTTCCGTGTTTGTTTGTCTGTTCCAGGTGAATGAAACACCGAACACTCATTGCTCATTTGGAAACTCGTAGCTTGTGTGGTTGGCAAAAGATTCAAAGTTTGTTCCGAATAGTCGTCTTCCCTCCAATTGGTGGTTTAAATCACCAATTAGGGGTTGCCTCAAATAGTGCTGGATGCATTCGCTAGCTTTAACAAACGTGGGGACCGCCGACAGGACCACGCCGTCAACAGGCCTGGCTGAGTCTTCGGACCATAGGTATTAAAATTTGTGCCAATTCCAGACTAAGTTCTTTACTCTCCCATCTCGCATTTGGAATCCTGTATTCTTCCACGTTTTGCAGGCCGGCGCTCGTTGGAGCAAGAGCTGATTACCAAAGAGACAAAGACAAAAAGATTAGAGAGGGAGAAACAAAGGAGGGAGGCAGAGAAAATTGAGTCTGAAGCTACGACACACTCCTGAGCTGGCCCTAGTACACAACCACACCAACATGTCTTCCACACTCAGAGCTTTGAATTGATAACTCCTGCTGTCAAAACATGCTGCACTGATTGCTAGACTGTAATGTTGACCCCAGATTAATCACCTGTTTATTAATAGGGGGTGTCCCGGGTTCAGTGGGGAATCATCACTCTTGGAGGGGCCCCACCTCCTATTGATAAACTATGGCTGATTAATATGGGGTCAACATTAGCATGCAATCATGCTAAGGGCAAACTGGCTTTCCAGCAAAACATGCGCCTCGGATGGAATGATGGAGTCCAAATCCCAAGAGCAAGGGCCACTGCCGCCCACGAGCTGAGCACAAATTTGGCGCGGCCCAACCTGAAGCGAAAGCCAAGCTTGCTAGGTCACAAGGGCAATCTGAGCTGCGCTCAAGCTACATCAATATACATACATATACACAATACTAATAAATATATACATAATAAATATTATATATATTATATTTATTCAACTTCTCATGGGTGGGTGGGGGAAATCTATATTGACCAAAAAATATCGGCAAGACATGCAAAGGTGCTCAAGAGTAGTTGTTGTGAAATCACGCCTCGATCTCCTCTGGAGCAGGCTCCAGCAAGACAGCAGGCTCTCCTGCCAGATTCTGCTGGCTGAACTCTGTACACTAAGAAATGGCACAGAACATCCTCTGTGTTCGACCTCTGTCTTTAGTTGAGGGTACCCCTTTTGGTCGGTTTAAAAGGGAAACCACCATTTTGGGGTCCCTTCAAAAAGCACACACACACACACCCAATCGAGACCTTTCCCCCACCTGGAAAGCTTGGATCATGATGGATGCGCTTCTGCAGGAAGTCAATGTGCACTATGCCTTACGAACTCGCACCCAAAAACCGCCAGGTTGATGGCTTCAAGCCAGGAAACTGCCATTGCTGAAGCGCTTTGGAGCCATCCAGCGTGCAAAGAGCGGATGGAAGGACACCAGCCGGCACCTCGTCCGGTGAATAGTTTGAAGAAGTTTAATACCTGTTCGCTGGTGCAGGGTAAACGGTTTATGAGCCTTTTAAGACACTCAAGATGAAAGGGAAGGAACACATGGACATGTCACATGGATCAGTATTGCTCAGCCAAATAAGAACATACAGGCTCATGCAGGGCCAAACATGAAGCACTCAGAAAGCCCAAACGGGGCAAAATTGAAACACCTGCACATGTTCAGTCGACGCATCTACCTCGTCCAGCACCAGCAAAAGAGATCATGTCAATGTGGATTGGCCAGCCTTCATGTGTTCTCGCATGATACTGCATATCATAGAAACAAACGTGCCCGCAGCCGTCTGTTTTCTCTGAACGCTGCCGAACACAGTTAGCTTTCTGCTCTTCTGGCCGCTACTGCACACGCTGTACGGCGAGGAGGCAAGCATACAGTCGATGGTGAGGCTGCCGAGCGTCTGTGACTCGCTTCTTAGATCTTGGACTGGGGATTATGACAAGCGGCTGGTGCTGTCGCCCTGCTTTCGCGCGCTGTTGAAACACCCAAACCGCACCGTGTTGCCACGTGAACAAATCTGATCGCTGACGGATTCCATGGCACACGTTTGGTAACTCACACCGGGTTGTAAGCCTCTACTGTGCATCGCAAAAACGGGCTATGCCTACGGCGCTCCTTTTCATGGCGACACCCCAAAGTTTGAGCAGGCTTTCTTTCCTCCACACCAGCGCAGACGCGCATTCCAAACAAAGAAAACCAACAGAGCGACCCAGAGAGGAGTCAAGCCTCCAGCTGCACCCACGCCAGCAGGCATGAGCGCAGCCGCAGTTCTGCAAAGCAGAAGCAACGCCTTGCCCATTGGGCGACTGGGTCAATTGTTAGGCAAGGCTAATGCGGCAACAAGCGATCAAAGACGTGTGGCAGTGAAGGCATGTGGCTCAAGTGCACCATTTAAAGGCTCACCAAATCCGTGGAGCATGGAGCATTTGACACGGAAGGCAGTGTCCGGGTTCCTGTTCTTAGCGCAGCCAGGAATATCAAAACGCCCAAAGCGGAGCCCAAAAGCCGGGCTTCGAGGAAAAAAACAACGGTCAAAGTTACGGTCTTAGATCAGTACGCGAGAGACTTAACTCGAGCCAGCTTGGGCCTTTGCGAAAAGGACAGTCTTGCCACACAACACAGTAAGTCTTGCCACGCAACACAATAAGCATGATCCAATTCCTTTCCTCTAAATAGTTCACGTGCATGTCCCAGAGATTGTGCAGCTCCCGGTGACGAATGGTCTGGGGCCGGCGCTCGTGGCAAGGCATCGCAATGTCCACGGCTTCGAGTGGACGCCCTCGTCGAGTTCCAACAGGCTGCCGTCCCCGATCCCACGCCTTGACTCCAACCCCTTCGAAGGCAGTGACAGGGAGTCAAAATCAAAACCTGGTATTGAAATGGTCGACCCAGAACCATGCTTCAAGAATTAAGAAGCGCAAGAGGATTGTCCCTACTGACCTTCAATCCCCGTGGCTCAGGTGAGCCGCTAGACTAAGCTGCATGCCCGCACGTAGGCATCGAAGACCTCGAAATCGCGCCATGCATCCTCAGCTGGTGTTTCTTTGGTTGAAGGAACACACCAATGCCAAAGTCATTCCAAAGATTGCCAACGTATTCCAAGCATCGTTGTTTTCTCTTCTTTTCCTTCTTTTTTTCCGCAGGAGCAAATCAATGCCGAAGTCATGCCAAAGGAATGCCGCATCAACACCCCCTCTGCCAAGCTTCCACACAGCCAAAGACCACCAGGCTGGACATGAGCTCGGAGCCACTGGCCAGTCGCAGGGCCTGGGAGCTTCCAACCGGTACCCAAAATGGCGTAAGCCCTGGTAAACGGAGACTTGGACAACCTGCGGTCCAATTCCTGGTGGTTTCAATTTTGACACACACCCATGTGTTTCTCAGAATGGTGGGCTCTTCTTGGTAGTTACAGGAAAACCAAAAAGAATCTGCTTCCGTTGTAGACCTCTGTTTTCAGCAACACCCATGTCAACATCTAAAACAACTCACACCAGCCAGCCGTATCCTTGGAAGCGGCACCTCCTCGTTGAGAAACGCCGCAGCATCTCCGATGTTGGTGGCAAAAGACTCAATCACCTTCAGCCTGTTGGCTTCTGCAGAGCGTGTAGCCCATGGGCAGAAACCGCCAGCAATGATGAATCGGTCAATCCAACCTGACGGGCGCCAATGAAAGTGTGCGTGCACTGCTGACAAGTGGCATGCCCTCAATCAGTCTATCAAAAGATTGACCTTGAAAGGCCCCCACGCAACCATGAAAACACATCAATCAGGTGAAACAAGACATGACGACACAACGTGAGTCCAAGCAGTTCTAATGCAAAAAATACAGGGAACATATTGGTCTTAAACATTAAAGGCCTCTGACCTCCTCATCGCGAGCTTCGCACTCTGCTTGATGCATCGCCACACGCAATCTGCTCACTCGAGGCGTGCAACCTCTTCTGCAAGCCTTAGATGCATTCTGTTGGAGTTATGTCACTTCACTGGGCTGCCCTCAGATCCCCCGCTAAAGGTTAAACTTTTAGTGGGTTGAATGGAAATCCCAACTAAACATTAAAAAGCTAAACAAAACTAAGGGGATGGCTGGGAGCCACCAAGTTAAGGTGTCCCTCATTGGCCCTTCAGGCACTGCGCAGGTTTGAAGGAGAGCTACAACCCAGGGCATGCTCTGATGCAGCATGCATAGCAGCCAGGACCTCGGTTGCCAAGCAAAGCGCGACAGTGGAACCAACCTGAGTGCTTGTCACACCTTCACGAAAACTGTGTGCTTGCCTCTCACATGTCATTCGCCCTGTGGCTCTTTGCCATGAAAACTGAGCTCCTAGCAAAGCCAAAGCTGTTCGAGCTGGAGCCATGTACCATCACACAACCA